GCTAAATACTTGCGTTGTCCAGTCACGCACATGCCTTATATCCCTATATCACTTGCTTGTGGTGAGGGACAGGTTATATTGCATTTCCTAGAATCGATTATCTACTCGTAGATAAGTCTATCTACGTACTTAACATCATTATCAGTAACTTTAGCAGTCGCTATTGAAGCCAACCGCGACCTCATCAAGGAGACTTACTTCGGTACTAAGCTACATCTTCCTTCGGCAATCGTTAAGCATATTAGATGATCAATTCGTAATACAGTGATAACCCCAACTTACACAACAACTCATTCGAACGGAAAAGGATGATCATGTTGAGGTAGCATGTGTCGATACCATCCATTTTGGTGTATCTACCTCCACCTGGAGACCCTTTCGTATGACCTTTAGCCCTTGTAATAGCATCACTCGCCCTAACACCCATCACGATAATGATGACGACCATGGTCATGCACTCACCTAGCTGTGTATACTTATTGCCGAATATCCACAGTTTATTGAGATGAGGCAGGACTCCACAATCATTACACAGTCGGCCCACTAGACATTGTACCTACTATCACTTGGCTGATACCTCCTCATAATACACTCCTCCCCTCACGCCAGCATCCATTATCTCATTGTTGCTGAGGTCTATGAATGTACAGGTACTATCATGTAGGCGTAGTAGTACATCCATAACAGTGTTGACATCATCATCCCGAATACCACAATAGGCTAGCCGAACTTCCATGACAGCAGAGGATGCCTAAGTGCAGAAGTAGAGGCAGTAGAGGTACATGGCCTTGGGACATTAAGTATATCCTTCCATCTCTTGGACTCCAACAATAGTCTTTGATGAACCTCATCACTATTACTACACTGTAACGGGTCCATCACACATTGAGGATTATTATACTCACAGTTCTTAGGATATTCAGGAGTATACCTACCCTCACTTCAACTATCGACTATTATTATTACTACTACCAAGGGGCCTTATCAGGGTACTTCCCTCCATAACCCTCCACAATATGATCCCTCTTATGTAGGACCCCTTCCAAAGCATCATTACTCTTACAATTGATCTCATACCTACGCAACTAACCCTATCACTACCCCTTACAGGCTGCCGACTAATACTCCTCCCTTTTTCGTCGCTGTTCTTCCGTTACTGAGCCCTCCTTACTCCCCTCATCACCATACAAACGAGGGCGGCCGTCAGCCGAAAGAAAGCCTCTCTTGATAATACTACCATCACTGCTGCTGCTGCTGCTTATGGTAGCCTCGTTGGTTACCTCCTCCACTAATACCATAACGATTATACTGAATTGATAAACATAATGTTATCAACACTACATCGGTTGTGGTTGGATACTGTATTATTACGATGATGATAACGACAACAACCACTTGAAACTATCAACAGGTCGATGGGATGATGGATGAACCAATACTCTCATATGAGTAAGGTATCAGAAACTGCGCACTAGTGCGGTTGAATACCACTCTCCGGCTAACTTCTGGTAAACTATATGATAAGTTTCTGCATCCTCCTACCACAATCGATTCATGTGTAGCCCATCGACCTTATCGGAAACCTGAAAGTATGTTACGAGCACAGCCTCAAGAAAGCATCTTACCTTTCTACTTCCCACCACCCTGAGCTGCTGATCCAAGGCCTAGAAGGGTATTCTGCTTCTCGGGTAGATACATGACATTGGGGGATTTAGCCAATGTCTCAGCAATCTCTCGTGCTGCATCAATCCTTCTAACCTAATCATATACCAACTAGAGTTGATGATACCCCTCCCTCATTATGATGATGATTACCTCAATAAGACCAGTACCATGTTCTTTAAGGGCCTTGGATATCATAGTAGCTGCCTGAGCCTCACCCTCAGCTCTTATCACTGTTGCTATCCTCTCTTGTTCGGTCTCTGAAGTGATCGTAGTATTGCCAATCTTATATCCTCCCTCCGTCATCACTCATTACTAGCAACAACAAACTTCTGCCTCTCAGCTTCCTGCTCAGCAACCTGTTTCTCCTCAATAGCCTTGGCAAACTCTCTACCATAGTTCAAGTGAGTGATGGAGACATCATCCAGAGCAATCTAATGATAACAACCTTGATTACCCACCATGACCGCCCAGTTGGAGGCTGCTCACATCAAATGCTTGGCATCGATCCACTACAGCATTCCTAATCTCACGAGATACCTTCTCTCGTTGTGTTAGAAGCTGTTCAGCATTATAACGAGCAACAACTGCCTTCAACACCTGATGATGACCATAACAAGTCCTCCTACACAACTACCTAGTAAGTCCTACCTCATTCCCAACTGAAGGTAAAACTCTCTCAGCGTAATCGGGTCCCAAGGACTTATGTATAGCCGGTAGACGATCAGTAACAGGACGATAAAGTAGACGGACATGAATCGTAGCCATCTGAAGGTCCTTAGTACCTAAGGAGGGATAACCTTACATCACACATAGTAGTCTTCTTACCTGTAGTAGTCTGAATAAGTTTAGGTTTTATCTGTATTGAATAGACATGTGGTCGTTGAAACCATGGTATTCTAATATGAGTCCCTTCACCATATATCTTATCAGATACACCACTGAATACCTAATAAGATGACCAGGCTGTAGAGGGAGGTGGAGGAGCTTGTTGTTGTTGTTATGATTACACTCCACATGACTGCTCTCTGACCACCATCCACATTAAAAAGGCATGTATTGCAGAATAAGCCGACTCCTCCTGCGCCAAAGGCTGCTAATGCCAAACCAGATAGGAACTTATCAGCTCCTGCAGATGATGCCATTGATACCAGGAGAAGGCGACCACAACACGATATATAATAATCACTCAGCTCATTGAGACACTCGACTACAGCATGACCAACTTCCCTCACCACTCACGGGCACTGCATCAAATCTAAGCGAGATGCCTAAAATCCAAAGAAGCGCGCGCCATTAATGGAAAGTAAAGGTTGATATCCAAGTGATGACCATAACGCAAGTGAGAATCTAAACTGCAAATTCCAAAAAAAAACAATAACTGCAGGTGAAAGCGGAGAAAGGGAAACCCGAAACCCCACCCGAAACCCGACGGGAAACCAGAAACCCGAACTGTTATCCAAGGCTAAGTCGAAATGCAAGTGAGAGCGTGAGCTAAACTTCTTTAGAAAAGAGGCCTATTCTTTAGAAATGAGGATTTCCCCCACCACTCACGATCATAAGCATCTAAATTTTAGCGCTCGCCATTATGATCGATTGACCGCGCATGTTAGCATGTGTATGGTTGCCTGATTTATAATGTCAGCCTCTGAGGAGCGTAGTACAGCGGATCTATGGAGGTAATACATTGATAAGGTAGTTGTGGTCGTGCTATCGGGTAATAGGTCATTAAACTTCCCTCTACTACTCGAGGAGATGTCCAACACTTTAGAGGTTATGGTACAATCTAGAGCACGTAGTCTTGAATCGAAGAAGCAATTGGCTGAGGATACTAGTACTAGAAGGAGGGGGGTCTTGTCCATTTAAGAGAGATTCTCAGAGGCACTCCTACGACGGGGGATATCTTCATCGCACAGTGAAGAAGAATCCACAACAACAGCAGCAGCAGCACCGTTATCACAATGGAATGAGTTATTAAAAGATTACCAACATGAGATCGATAATTTGAGTAGGAGGGCTAAGCAAGCGGAGACGTCATTTAATAAGCTCTACCAGTGAGTACCACACCTTCGCCAATTCACGTGGCATTCATTCAGCTCAGGCTCCTCAAACCATTGCCCGACCCAGTGTCTGCTATGGCTACTACCCTTACTAACGCTACTGATGAACACATTGATGAGTTGAGTAATACCATACGAAGGAAGGATGATGAGATCGTGAGACTGACATCAAAGGTAATAATCATGAATAGGGCATGCTGGTAGCAATATTATTATCTACCAACAGTTGGCTGATCTAGAGACTGAGTTCTCAACTCTAACCAATCAAGCTGTTACTGTCCGTCGTCTTAAGGAGGCTCTCAAGGCCAAGGATGATGAGGCCGATGAGAAGGTTCAAGCAGCTCTTAGTCAACAGGAGGAAGAGTTCACTACACGACTACAGCATCATCATATTAATCTTGATGATCGCATACAGCGATTACAGCAGGAATTGGATAATGAGAGAGATCGTCGAAAGGAAGCTGAGAGTCTTATCACAAGAGCTGAGGAGGAGAGGAGACATTATAGTAAAATGTCGGAAGATAGTTTACAGGCATTGACAGCTGAGAACGAGACACTTGCCGCGGTAATGAGGTACTTGACATTCGATCGTTACAAGGCTGTTGATTATAGGATATTGACCGACTCACTGGAGAGGTTGAAGCATTGAGGATTCAGACCAAGTCCACACATGGAATGGATCGGTATTATTATTATAATGATGATGATCGAAGGCTTAGTGACGCTAAGGAACTCCTTTTTAGGACTTTAGAGCTTCAACAAGAACGTCAACGTAATGAAGCCCTCGAAGCCGAGTTGGTTACAGTACGGTCTAAGGCTGATGCTGATAGGGAGGAACGACTTAATACCATCAATCACCTACAACAGGAGTGCTTGGACCTTGCTGATGAAATAAAGATGGTAACAGAGAGGCTTAGACAAGAGGAGAAAGAGGTGGCTAGACTCAAGGATGTTGAGGGAGATCTTCAAAAGTGCTGTCCCCGAGGGTTGAACCTGGGTGGATTCCCATATCAGGTGTCAGGCAACTCTAGAGAAGATGAAGATCGTCGAGTACAGTGCAGACCCATCAGAAGGATCGACTGAGCTAGAGAGGATGCTCCTAGGGAAGGTGATGGTGTTCATACGTTATACGTTATCCTCATGTATAGGTTCGGAATCTAGAGGGACAGTTGGTACCATTACGGGCTAAGGCATCTGAGGTTAGTACCATAGCAGATAAGCTTCGACAACGGGAGGAGGAAGTATCGATGTTAAAGGAATCATTGGATAGGTTGGAAAAGCTTGGCAATGATGTGAGTTATTATTATCTTGCTCATCCTTATTACCCCCTTCTATAGGCATCATTACCATATACTACTACCACTCCATCCTCTTTATCTACAGTAGAAGAGCCCCCTTCATTAATGGCTATAACACGACAGCAACGAGATCATCTTAGAGCTAGAGTCCTCACTCTTGAGGCTGAAAGGGATTCATTAAGGGAGGAGGTTGGAGATAAGACCAGGAAGTGTGATACACTATATACCGATAATATCAAGTTATTGGAACAGAAGAAGTATTGGCAATCTATGAGTGGGTTAAGTACTAGCAGCAGTACTAGCAGCAGTAATGGTATCGAGTCTATCCTACCCAGTGAGCTCGTTATTGATACTAAGTTAGGAAGGGATCGTCGTATTAGGGCATGCGTCGAGTGAAGACGATGTGATCGAAATGCGGTATATGCCAGCCTACATGGAGGAGGTATCATTGTCACCATTTGAGACATTTAAGATATCAGAGAGGGAGAAGAGGTTAATGAGGTTACCTAGAGGGGAAAGGCTGCTCGTAATAATAATACTACCTACTCCTATTATTGGAGAGGTATCATCTACTTATTAGTATCAGGTACAAGTACTGACATTGATAGTTGGTAATAGGATGACTAGGATTGCCGGTGGACTCTATCTTATGGCATTACATTTACTAGTATTTATAGTTTTGTAAGTACTTAGTAATATCATCATCATATTCTGCTCATACTATTGCCACAGGTATAAGTTCATGCATTTATCGTCCAAGTATGACAATGTCTGAAGAGTGTATCATTGACGATAGTGTAGACTTACTTTCAATCTATCAATCATCATATTGGGTTGGAAGAATTATCAGATTTGTACGCAATGAACACGAGAGTAGATATTCGCTGACTTATTGTTATACACCCCTCCACACATTCTTAGCATACCCGGTTTTTCGACTCGTGCACAGCCACCAGAACGAGTATCATCTCCTTGCGGCTCAGGGAGGTATGTACTTATGCTTTACCTGATGTGACCTCCAAGTCCAGAAGGGCCTAACTCTTCGTAGTTGGTGAGAAGTCGAAGACTGGTGAAAAGTTTTCTCCACATATTCTTGGCATACACGTGTTAAAATCGAAATACGCCTCGAAATACCAACTTTTACTCGGGGAGTATATCCATAACTCCGCTTCTGATCTAATGCTATATATCAACAGAGAGATAGTCGTTTATAATGGTATCCCTCCATATTTCACTCATATTTGGAGGCTTCCAGCCAAAACTGAGCAGGGCAGCTGATGAGCACGAAAGCGCGCCGAAACAAAGTGTAAAACCCGCCAAGCAGGGTGCCGTCGGAGGTGAAGACGCGCTAGCAGGCTTGTAGCCGTCACTACTCCTTGAATAACTCTACTATTACATCTGATTAGATGATAATACAACATGCTACACATACGGGAACATCGTTAGAATATAGTAGATGGAAAGATGGTAATGAGAGCACATCATGGTGGTGGTGGTGGTGACATGGATGTTACCATTACTATAATCTGCCGACATAGAGGGCATACTCTACCATCGGTCATCGACTTCATTGCACATGAATAACAGCATATCTCATGACCACATCGTTCAAGACGACAATCAATTGCTGTAGAATAGCATACTTTACCTATCATATTTAATAACTGTATTTGCTGTCTATGCAGTTATATCATCATTACACATGCCTCTTGACTCGTTGCTGCTGCTATTACCCTCACCATCATTATCATCAAGGCATCTTACATGGTGTGGTGATCGGAAAGTTCTCGAGAGTCGTCCTTCACCACCACTACCACCTAGAAGTCCACACCTACTACCTTTACTGTTAATATCACCCTTAACAACAAGGGGGGCCATACCTGAGAGGCATGGTGTATAGAGAGTGATGATAGGAGAAGGAATACTCAGATCATTGAGGCGATCCTCAGGGTTATAGGATACACTCAAATGCAAGGCAGTGGTAGCATCTAGGTCGACACTAATGACCATCGTATAGTTATCCTACTTGATGATGATTGTTCTTGACTACTCTCAAGTCCACGATGGATGATACGATCTAAGTCCATAATGAAGGGGTATAAGGGTGTATCTACTTACCAAGTTCAGCTTGGAATGGTCCACCAATTGTTGATATACCATATGATAGGATATCAATAACATAAGCAGGATCAGGTGAGGGAATACCATCACACAGTACTCGATGAACCTACTACTGCTACTAATAATCATAATACTACACAAGAGGTAGTAACTACGTCATCTTCTTTATACCCCTGCCATGTAAGATCGTGAATGATATAATCCCAGATATCCCTCATGAAAGCCTGAATAGTAATAATGTGGTAACTATAGTTAAAGTATGAATACCGGCATATAGAAGGGCCTTGTTGTAGGCCGGCTAGAGGCAGCTGACCATGACAACGACGACGACGACGACGATGGGGGGTCCACGCGGGCTCCTCCTCCTACTCCTGGTACGATGTTGTCATCGGCGATGAGGGGTGCCATACGCTGCCGTACCTATCGTGATCGAGGACAATTGTAAGTGGTTAGCATTCTTCAATGAAATGGCACTCTGAATGCTTGTATCTGTTTATGGCCCTTTAGGGCATAATCAGCTACAATTTGCTCATTTGGACCCCTCCTATTCTTGGACTTGGTGGTAGCAGTACTACTACTAGGATAGTGATGCATGATAGGTTGTATACCTATCACTAAGGACTATTGATATCATCATCATACCTTCATACCTAGACATTGGTAGTAGTTGACAACCTCTCGTGGTATATTCTGGAGGATTGACATAGCTAACTCATGGCTACTTTTACCTTTGAATTCTCGGTAAGGGACAAAACGGACCTATAGAGAGGTAGCAACAAGATGAGAAGCATATGACAGCAATGGGTGAAGTACTATGTCACGGTCTGGTGAGGAACCATCTTTACTCGACACAAGAGTTGTAGACCCTCTAGAGTCTAACAAATCCATCTGGCTGAAGTCAACACCATCGCCAAGACCAACCTAATTCCAAGGCACATGACAAGGCTTCACTCCACGTTGGGCTTAGTAGTACTATAATAATAGACATTGGGATAGTCTCCTTACTAGCCTCAACTATCTCATCTATGGTCTCCTGTACATCATCAATGAGCCCATCAGTAATAAGGAGGAGTATGAAATACTTCTGCTGCTGCTGTTGTTGTCTACTATCACCACCAGAGATCTGCAACAAGAAGAAGCCTACCATCACACCATGTGAGAGGTGGCTGTGCCCACTCACCCTCTCCCCGTTGCTATTAACATTACACTCTGATGATGATAATGACCACTGTCTGCATGTTTTTATGACCTCACTTAGGTTAGTAGGGCCATGTAGAGAGGTAACCTAAGGTAGAGTAATGAGTGGACCCCTTGGGGTCGGGTCTTGTAGGACCTGGAGAGCCTTCCTGTATGCCTCGATAATTCCATCAATGCCATATACCTCTGGATCGAAGAAGTTACCCTTCAAACTAAAACAGTTACCTATGATTGGCATATAAGATGGGTTAGGTCTCCTCCTCCTTCTCCTCACTAGATAGAGTATATGTTGGTGGTAGTCTAGCACCAAAGCCATATACTGGGTATTTGTTATCATTATTATAGGCTTCGAGTATCCCTCCAACACTTCTTATTGCCATAATCTGCTATTGACTTTAATATTAACTTGACTATTGTTGATCATGAGTACATAGTCATTGATGACTTCATTAGAATGATAATGTAGGGAATTGTCATACCTCGGATCACCATTAGATGTAGTGAAATCGATGCCCACTATTAATGACATCTCCAATCCACTAAAGAGTGACCGTTGTATGAGCAGTAGTACACCCATTGAGTACCCCTAATACTACTACTACTACCCCAATACATATTCAAGGAATGACCATCTTCGCTGTATGATGACCTCCTCTATTATGATGTATCCCTCCGTGCCTGCTACTGGTTTCTGCAACTGGCTATTGTATGTTAGCTTTCCACCTCCGTGTCGTTGTCGTAGTTGTGTTAGATATGAATAGACCCTCATCTGGGGATGACAAATTCGAGTGGTGGTAGATACTGCTCATTCCTGCTGTTCTCACTAGTGTTCTTCCAAAGAAGGTGGTGGGATCATTAGGTGGAGTGTATAGACGTAATATGAGCTTTCGTTTAGTCTTGAATACATGATAAAGATCTCTATATGTGAGTGTAGTAGTACCAATAAGGATTGATCCGCTATTCCTAGTACGGTGATTAACCTATTCATGGTTGATGATGATGATGATGGTAATGATGATGACCTGTAGTATTATATCTCTATCCTCATCTCCTCCACATAATTGATCCATAGATAGATGGATGGATAACCATTGAGGATTCAATGTATTAGGTACCACCTCCGACCTATATATTGGTATAATCTAATATAACAAGTATTAGTAGTATCATAACGATGTTACTACATTCTCTTGCTCTTCCATACATGTCCTAGCTTTCATCTGATGACCATACTTAGTATACATAGGTTCATTATAACGGTACACTACGAGGTATCTATACTCCTACTACTATCTGAGGGTAGTGATAGTAGTTATACTACGGATTGTTAAACCTCCATAGATTGGTAGGAAGGTTCTCAGCACTCATCTTAAGGACCTGGAGGGAAGGGAGTGGTAGGAGATTTATTTTATGCTGAATGGTCGTATTACGACTGTATCCTCGACTCTGTTGTTGTCGATCTCGGTAGCATGTACTATGATATCACCATGGTGGGTATTCCTACTTCTTTTGGAATGTGATGATGGAGGAAGAGGAGGCTGGTTCAAAGGACGTTTGAACTGCTGCCTTATGTGGCCAGATTGAGTAGATAGTGTCCCAACTACTACCACCTAGAGAAGGAGGAGTAGGAATAGGACGACTGAGAGGCACCTGTTGTTGCCTCTGCTAGAGTAGTCTCGATCCATCCTAATAAATCTCTATATGATGGACGGTAATTGGGAGGCAATTCTCCTACTGTTGCCGTATTGTGACATTTATACAAATCCAATCGTAACTAGAGTAGTTGTGATAATGATGATGATGAGGGGGAGTAAGGTATTACAAGAGTTTGCTGTTCAAAGATGTAGTCTAAAATGATCTTCTTGATAAAACAAGGAGTTGTAGTATGTGGGATTACCTCGGTACCTACACCAACATCTAGTATCTCATCATCCTCTACTACTAGGATAGTTTGTCATACGCCCAACCTCTTGCCATACTTCATCTACTCCATTTCTTATACTACACATAACCATACAGTTATCTGCACATAACATCCTTAGGATAGTAGTATTGATAATGAGGACATGTATTAGGTAGATTGAGGCACTTGATGTCCATCTCCACTTTACTAGAGGGTAACGTCATATCCTCCTTTCCTCCTCCTCCTCCTCCTCTTCCCTCGGCTGAGCAGCATGATGCTACATACTTCAGTATCATGAAGGAGCTAACCCGCGTAAGCATTGTCGACTTCATGGCCTTGTGAATCGTTAGTAGGAGTAACACCGATAGTAGTAGTTATGTGGTGTCTATTACCCATTATTATACCATCCTTACTACTATAATGATGATGTATCATACTACGCAACTCATGAGCTTTCATGTAGTAAGCATCTTACAATATTCACCATGGTATTTATTCTTATTCATGATGTGTGGTAATAGTATATATGATGTATGTATTGCTGGTATTACCGATTCTCAACAACAACAATAATAACTACTCTACCGTAATTATTGCTTTGCTGCTGATCCTTACTCCGTTGATAATAAGATGATGAGTCATCATCATCATGGTAGGTCATCATTGATGATGACTTACCATTCTCCTGAGGCGATCCTTTTATCAGTTTATTCCCTATAATAGTAGTACTAGGACAGTATCTCACAGTATACCCTCCCATACCACTCCTCTCCGAATAATCACTGCTATAATATCCCGTAGCTGATGCTGGGGAGTAATACACTCCACCTCTTGGCAACATCTCATCATTACAGCAAAGAGTAGTAAGCCTATTAGTGCACATGTAGTAGTGATATAATAGTATTATTACGTATATGTTTATTATCATTACAGAAGTAATGAAACTGCCATAGATGCGATCCAGAATCATCATTAGGAGCTGGAAGAAGGCTCAAGTCATCAACCTATTGTCATCACATATGCGTAGTTATTACTAGTAATACCAATTCATAGACATCTGTATCTATAAAGCTAAGATAACTCTGTACTGCACTCCATAGCTCAGCTACTAATCCTGGTTGTGCTAGGTCATCTAATGATGTATTGATTCACTTCATCACCCATATGCTTCTTATGCTATTATTATTGATTATTAGTATTATTACTGACTTCAACTTCACCAGGATCCTCCTTCTTAACAAAATGATCAGGACTTAGAGTATTGAATTGATAATCAGGGAATGTATCATTTAATGCCCCTATTAATATAACCAATAATTGTCTTGAATGTTGGGCTGCTGCTGATAATGGTCCTGATGATTTGAGTAAGTGTGGTGAGGTCCTTATCTCATTATTCTTCTCTACTGGTAATAGTTTATTATCATCATTACTACTATTAGTAGTTAATAGTTCAAGTCTACAATCTAGACGTAACCAGATCTAGGGTGTTGATACGGGCAGATATCTGACGTATCAATACTCAGATCAATACGTATCTAAATAATGTATTCCCAATAGTACAGGAAATGTGATATTGATGATAAGTAATCCCATATATACTCAACATCAACAATAGCACAATGTTCCGAGGGAATTGATGTAATTCTTCCGACTCCTCAACGTCGACGTCTGCCTCGGAAGTGCCTCCCCTACCACACTAGCCAACTCTCGTCGATCGGTGACTGAGAGGCGTCACTCATACGAAGATGATATCAAGAACCCCTTGAAGGGATGTGCGTGCTAATCATCAGACGAGGGAGATCAATCATGCAATCGACCGGAGCGCGGAGTAATATATCTTGCACTCTCGATCATTCACAGCATCTTTGATGATTAGTTGATATTTGCGCTCGCCCGATAAATGGAAGTGTCCTTAGATCGAGCGCTTGTAGGAGCGTTGAAGCGTTCCTGGAGCACATCTGTTGAGCACAATTTGAGTTTGAAGTTGTTGTTGTTGTTGTTGAGCACGAGGGGTAGACTTGTTACATACGCTACCGCGGGTATCACCCTTCAAAGAAGCCTTTACCACTATTGGGTAAGAATAATACATTATCGTTCGAATCATCTACACCGGTGATATCATACATTGCTATCATATTGTGGAGAGTTCATCACCCTAGGCATAGAGACATTTAATCAGGGGGGATTACTGGGATCTAGGATACTGCAAGGACCATGCTATATAGTGTGGTTATACATTATATCTGATGACACATCTATCTCTTAGAAGTATGTCATTATTATCAATGCTACGCTATCCATCATCCACTCCTCTCATCAGCTTAATATACTCTCCAACCTGCACTTTGCCTCTATCGAGTGAGTTGAATCGGGAAAGGATATTCTCGATAGTGTAGGTATATTAGGTAGCATTGCTAGACGTAGCTTCGCTTCAACTCAACAACAACATAAGCGTAATATGTCGAATAATATTATGCCCAATAAGGTGGAATGGAAGCTTTTAACTAGAGTATTACTATATGGATAGATTGATCGAAGATGTTGATAGTATACTAGGTTGAATATGAACGTATTAGAGTGGATAATCCTATAGTAGAATTAGATGGTGATGAGATGACCAGGATAGTATGGCAGATGATAAAAGATAAGTTGGTAATAATAATAAGATGGTATATGCATGCTTAGAGTTAGAGCTATAGTAGATATTCCCATTCTTGGATATGGATATTGATTATTATGATCTATCACTCACTAGTAGAGACAAGACTAATGATGAGATAACAATTAAAGCAGCAAAGGCCATCCTCAAGTACTATCGAAGATATCTTTAATATTCATTATCATTATTATAAACTAATATCACTAAAACAGGTATAATGTTGGCGTAAAGTGTGCTACTATTACTCCGGATGCTGCACGAGTTGAGGAATTCAAACTAAAGAAGATGTGGAAAAGTCCGAATGGTACTATTCGTAACATACTTGATGGTACAGTCTTCAGAGCTCCTATAATAATAAGGAACATTCCGCGGTAATAATAACAATGGAAAGGTCCCAAGTTCGATACCCACCGAGGATGATTATCATTAGATATGTCCCTGGTTGGGAGTATCCAATTGTTATTGGTCGTCATGCTCATGCTGATCAGTACAAGTGTGAACAGTTCCAGACGGATAATATTCCTGGTAATAAATATAGTAAGTAGGAATTGAACCGAGGATCTACGCCTCTCTCAGGGATCGTAGACTTGGTATTTCATCCTAGTGATGGATCCGCGAGTAAGACCGTAAGACTCTTTGAATTCAAAGAGAAGGATGAAGGCGGTGTCGTTATGGGCATGTAATAATAAGACTAGTATCAGATATTAACACATGGGTGTAGGTATAATACTAAGAGATCTATTGAAAGTTTTGCCAGATGTTGTTTTACATATGCATTAGGCCAGGTAAGGTGATGATGATGATGATAAGGTGCGCCAATGAGAGCCCTTTTTATTACTCTAGGGTATGCCGCTTTACTTCTCCTCTAAGAATACTATACTTAAAGCTTATGATGGGATGTTCAAGGACATATTCCAACAGTTATATGTTGAGGAATACAAGTAGGTTATAATAACGATGATCTTTGCAGCAGTTATTATTATTATCATCATCATTATGGTCAGGAGTGCTTTTGATAAGGCTGGTCTATGGTATGAACATCGTTTGATTGATGATATGGTGGCGCAAGTGAGTTAGTCTTCTTATTATTCAGTAAACCCAAGTTAACAACACTTTAATAGGCTATTAAATCTAAAGGTGGTTTTGTATGGGCATGTAAGAATTATGATGGAGATGTCCAGTCTGATATCGTTGCTCAAGGGTAGGATAGTATTACACCCGAGTTCAATACTCAGTGGGTGAATATTCAGTTACGGATCATTAGGATTAATGACTTCCATCCTAGTGTGTCCAGACGGTAAGACAGTATTATCAGAAGCAGCTCATGGTACTGTAACAAGGCATTTTAGAGCATACCAAGTGAGTAGTAGTAATAGATCTATCTATAGTAATAATAAATTCTTAACTTCAGAGAGGTGAGAAGACATCAACTAATCCAATAGCATCAATATTCGCTTGGTCAAGGGCTCTCAACCAACGGGCTATACTCGATGATAATTCTAGATTAAAGCACTTTGCTCAGGTAGTAGTAGTAGTAATAGGATCTATTATTATGGTACCCATCCTTAAGGCTCTAGAAGAGGCATGTATTGAATCTGTGGAAGCTGGATATATGAGTAAAGACTTGGCGATATGTGTAGCTGGTACATCAAAGGTAATAGTAGTATTATGACTATAATGAGTATTTATAACAACAATAGGTATCCTCTGAACAATATCTAACTAGTGAGGATCTTATTGACTACTTCTCTGAAAGGTAATTATCATCATTTATTAATTTGATAATCACAGTCATTATCAGATTAAAGGTAAAGTTGGCGAAACCATTAAGGAAACGTTATGCACTTGTTGGACCTCGTTTGGACCCTCCACAATACAAATCTGAGGATCAGTAATCCCTCTTGTTAATATGTATGATGACGTCATGTATTATGTATGACGTAATAATAATCCTTTTTGATCTTTATACAACCCAGAGTTTGCAGTGTAAATTAACATATATATGATGGTGATATTATCTACACTGTATGATGTTAAAATACCACCACCATCCGATTTGCTATCATGCTTGTTAAAGAACATGAGGTATAAACCATGACAAGTTCTGATAATACTACATATTTTACTGGGTCTATACATGATACTATATCATAGTACAGCTGGTACTACAACCAACGCCAAGGAATTCGATCCGTCAAGGTAAGACTACCCTCAAGTATGATGAAGCCAACAATCACATACTAACGGATGTATACAAGAGCTCATACATGTTATCAATGACATATGGCGAATGCGCAGGCAAGCTCCTCAAATTCTACTAAAGCAAATCGTGAGCATCGAGACTGAATACTTCTGGCAAAGGCTGCTAACATCAGTGTATAGTGTTGTGATGATGATGATGATTATGATGATGATGATGATAGTGGGAGTCTATTGTCAGAGCTGTGAAGTAACATATGAGTATCATCAGGTCACATTGCTGTCCACGATGGTCACATACTCGGAGCTCACTAACCCATTGTATGTACAATGACCATAAACAACGACGACTGATGATAGAGAGGGTTATACCGGCACGCCTCTTATTAGACTATCAAGCCAGTCATAGCAACACAAAGGTGTAATGATATCGAAACGGTAAATATTAAGCGACAATGGAACGATGATGTTGTTGATGATAGAGTTGATTACGGAGGTTAACCGGGAACATTCTTGTTACTATTATATGGTAAAGCATTAGTGTTACTATAGAGGTATTTAATAATTATGATGCAATAACGATACGATGGGATGATTATAATGCATAGATAGTTGTCAACTTATATTGTATATCATTAGGTAGACTATTCCATAACCTGACAACATCATCATCATCATTAACAACAATACATCCTATTATTACCTATCCCAATCATCCTTAGATAATACTGATTTATATCCATGTACCAATTGATGACACATTTGTATAGCATCATGTAATTGAGTATTAGATGATGATGGTGGTGGTGGTGGATATAATGATGCTGCTACTGATAATATACCACATAATCTATCGGGTAATGCCATACCACATGATGGATTAACTTCTAATGCTAGACATATACCATGTATAGCATGTGCCTTTTCTATATCATTCCTCATCTGAGATATAGCCATACACCATGGTATAATAGCATTAGGTAATGCATTATGTCCAATATCCTCTGGACATACCTAATACATTAACATCATAATGATGATGTTATTGTTATTATTATTATTCTTACCAAAGCCAACCTTCCAAAGGTGATAGCGGCGTTTTGGATCAATAAAGGGCGCTGGAGATGTCCAGTCTCCAATATTGATGTCAACTTAGTCCCTATCACACCAGAATACCTAACAACAACAACGGTGATAATAATAATGATGATGATAGGTAGTGGTTGGTGATGATGTTGATGATGATGTTGAGTTACTTACGGTTTCATATCAAACTTGTTGTTGTTGTTGTTATTATTATGAGTAGAAGGTGTTGTTGTTGCTGCTACTGCAACACATATCTCTCCTATTGCCCATATAGCATTGTTACATGTACTATATGAACCATTATCCATATATTGTATAGTTGGAGGTAATATCATAGATAGATGAGGTACTATAAGAGTAATACAATACCTATACAGTGACACTTATATATGTATACTACTACTAATAATAAACTATAGTCATCATAATTACCTTGATAAATCACCAAGTAATGCATATAAAGCTTGTGTAACTTGTGATGGTATATTTGAAGATGTTGTTGTAGTAGACCGAGCTGTAGCCTGTATCATACGTACTACTATTGGTATTATATCTAATATCATCACCCTGAATACTATGATTAGTATTAGTAGTAGTACCAGTAAATATTTGAGATGCATGTAAGCCTTCAGCGACTGCTGATAGACAATCTAATGCTGCCGCGACTATATCAGGATCGATACCTAATCATACTATCATCATCTATGTATACTATAACTATTAGTACCATCATTATCACTCTGTGGAATATTGATATATTCAAGATAATTCTGTATTATCCTACCACACCGATTAACGACCTGGAGAGTGGGTATCAGTTATTGTTGATGATGGAGTGGTATGCATGTTATATTAGTATAATAGTTGATATTACTATAGTCACACCATCTTGACCTAATCCTGCTGCTGCTAGTTCAGGAGACCATAATATTGGTGTTAATGCTTCTAATAGGGATATCAAACACTTATCATTATCATTCGTAACCTGACAACATGAGACCAAGAGTGATAATAATTATAATAATAATACCAACCATATTGAATCTTTGTAACATAGTTGGTATCAATTCCATGTTCATTGCTGGTACTTTACATAGAACATCAGCACCAATCGATCCTATAAATGTACCAATAGCATCTAGTAATATTAATAGATTCTTATATTGGTAACTAAAAATGAGAATGATGATGATGTTACTGCTACTACCATCACATTATCATATTGATGATAATATTGATGTATTATTATTACAATCTAATAGCTATCTTCATAACTTGTATTATCTTATTAATAAGATCAGTATCATCCCTTATACGATGACCACTCTCTTCAATAAGTCCAGCTAATGCAGAGATAGCTGCCTCTTGTACACGTTTATTCTTATCAACACATCTAACACCAATAACAATGTGAATAGTAATAATAATACTATTATTATTAGTATTACCTCTGTAATATAGCAGTAGTAGCCAAGTTCAAGGCAGTATTACTATCCTGAGCTGCTAACCATCGTGCAAACCTTCCTAATGCCCAACATCCAATGGATCGTAATAATGGTTGATTAGATTCAGTAGTCTGAATAAACAGTAGATAGTATAAGTATTAGTAGTAATATTATTACCTGTATTAATAAGGGTAATAATGTATTCATATGTCGACCTAAACCAGTATCACAACCATGTGCTATGGCTCCAACTGCTAATACTGATGCCTCCTGTTGTTGCCAATCTAAGGGTGATGATGACGCTTATTATCAATAACAAAGTAGGGAGATGCAAGTAATACCTGCTGTATTAGTAAGGCCTTTCTCAATCAATGGTAATAATATAGGTAGTATATCATCATTCAGTGCACTTGCCATATTATCAAGACTAAATAATAATAAGAACAGATATCTTCGATGATGATGATGATGATGTTTGTAGATATTGGTATTATTACGCATTAGCAGCAGCCTTTCTTACTGTCCATTCATTACCCCATGTTGACATATTACCTCCACCTCCACGTGGTCCTAACATGATATAATACCAATGTCTATTAATGATGATGATCATCATTTTATGGCTAGCCTACTACCATTCCCACCAACAGCTCTATCTTCCTCATCACCTGGCTCATCATCATCTTCTCCATTACCACCAACATCATCATCATTATGTCGAGATCGATCCTATTAATAATAATACTACTATCAATGCTGATTAGATGTGGTCCTTCCCCTTACTTGATGGAATATTGGTGCTGTATCATTAACTTCATCCTGTATATGAGAATCATCACCAACTAGACCACTTTCCATTGATTCAAAGTCTTCCTTAGCATATACCATATTATTCTGAGATATAGATTACTAGTAATGATCTTAACAATGATAATATAATGACCCACCAATAATGTTGGTAATATAATATTAAGACTATCTGGTGATTGTATATAGGGTAACCATTGTGTATTAAGACATACTGCTGGCCAGAATTCTAATGCCTCTCTACGTACTTCAACAGGTGATTCTTGACCTAACAAGATATGTTGCTAATGGTTGTAGTAATGATGATGAGTATTGCATAGATCTTACTAGATCTTTCCAACATGAATTGCATTATTTGTGGTAGATGATTTTCAAGTAGATCTGGCTGATGATTAGCACAATGAACAAAGCCGATACATATCTCCTTCAAAACTAATAAGAACAACAACAACTACATTACCATACAAGTAGTAGTTATAGATAATGTTATTGTTGTTATTATTACTACTACCTGATGGACTATGAGAATTAGCAGCCAATGATCCTAATGAGTTGAAGTATGCTTCCATATGATGATCTAATCTAGTTGCACCAGGCATCATTAAAAAGGAGCATACAAATAAGTGTAGTATATTCAGTGATAAGGCTTTATATCTAATAACAACAACAACAACCATAACAGTAATAATCATCATATACTACCCAATAACAATGTAGTGGTAGTATTATTACTTATCAGGTGCACCAAGAGTGGTACAAACTTCCAACAACTTGGGTATTAAATCAGTATCAGCAAACTGTATAAATGGTGATGATGATACAGCCTAATAACAAAGACTATATATACTTTTAGTATTATTAATATTATTACCGCATCATCCTTTCGATATGCCAATAATTGTTGTCTATATATATCAACACCATCTTCACATACATATTTCAATGCTTTAAATGATCCATCAACCACATCTAATGATGTATCAGCTAATCCATTAGCCAATATATGCATACAATCAGGCCAAGCACCAACACCATGTACTGATACTATACTAGCTATTAAACTACACGCTGTTGAACGTACATCAGCATCACCATCATAACGGCATGCTTCTAAGATAGCTGACTTTACTGATGATGTTATTACCATCTGTATACACGATTATTATAATACGATATATTGTATTATAATTACCTGTTTATTAGATTGAATAATATTCTTTAACAACAATCCAGCACGTTGTCTAGTATGAGGAGAATATTGTTTTGTATTTGCATCGGATTTTGATGCAAATATTATAACCAAGTATCGCGCCATTCCATCAGGTCCAAGAGTATTTGATAATTCATTCAAAGTCATCATGACCTGAGGAAAAGGAATAAGTAGTAATAATAAGTTGTATTATTATTACTACCTCTTGCTGTATAGCATTATCAGTACTACTACCATTATCCAATACATTGCCTAATGTTGATAATATATCATTATTAATCCCCACCACTGCTGATGTTGTTGATGTACTCATTAATAGAAGTACCACGAGAAGAAATACCTACACATACCTACTCCCACCAATGACTAAAGCGAAATCGATTATAATGGCGTGCGCGATATCATCGACGACTTGTAGCACAGTGCACGGAAATCCTCTAACTCGTTGCGTTATGCGGCGAACTGATAGACGAGGTCATCATCTACGTGGGATAACCAATGTTGATAATGGTAGTAACATTATAAATAGACCATAGGCTATATAGTATCATTTGTAGTACGTACCAAGAGAAATGTGCATAAGAAGATTTGTAGGAATATGGATTATCATTTAGATTATCAAGTAAGTATAGCAATAGTAGTAGTGAGTATGTTATAAGATAAATAGGTACCAATAACAATGGCTGGTATTGGGCATAAAGACTTTTCACCAGGTGTTTCCGGGATAGTATATAAATCACAAGAGATGTAGTATATTGGAATTTGAGAATGGTTATTGTATGATTGTATAGGAGTAAGCCTTATCAAGGGAGTAGTATAGTGATGGTGAATAGTGTATATAATAAGAATGAGGATATCATGGCTAGAGAGGTTCGTCCTATTACATCATACGATATTGGAAAGAAGATAGGAAAGGACGAGTGTATAGATGTAAGTACTTTGATATTTCAGTATTGATATTATTCACCATCAGCAGCAGCAGCAGCAGCAGGAGAGTGTAGTACCAATAATACATGCACCACCACCACCATCATCAGATGGTAAGAAGAATAGGCATCTCACATCAATACCTCTTCCTACTACTACTATCAATACTACTGCATTACCACCTAAACATTGCTCTAATGGATCATCATCATTATCACATGCCCATTCATTATTATTGAGAGGTAATCATCTCTATACTAAGGATGGAGTATTATCTTATTATAGGTGATAGTAAAAGAGATATGCATTCCAAGTATATAGAGAATATTGATGATAGTAGTAGTATGACTATTAGACATGATCATGGGACTACCATCACAGGATCATTGGATTATGATAATAATAATAATACAAGAACTACTACTACTATGGCAACAAGATTAGCTTACTCCTACTCGTCGTCGTCGTCTGTGGTGGGTGATGATGATGATACTCCTACTAATGATTATCAAGTAAATATTACACCTATTAGTAGCATTAGAGCGTATTATTATTCATGCTACTGGTGTAGATCAGACCAATACATATACCCGATCTAGCATATAGACCTAAGCATCATCAAAGTACATCAGAGGCTATAGCAAGAGCATCTAGAATACGAGAAGTAACAAGACAGAGATATGCTGCTGCTAGGCCAGCATTATTACAGTAATATTACCATTACAAACACCAAATATGATAGTATCCATCAGGATCTTCCGTAGTGTAGCTGGAGGAAGTGATATAATAAAATCCAATGATCTTGTAGTAGCAGTAGTAGTAGTAGTAGTAGTAGTAGTAGCAGTAGCAGTAACATTCGGGCATATATATTATCCCATTGTTAGTTAAAAGCTTTTGAAAGGCTTGGCATGATGATAACGACTAAGGAAGCTGATATACTCATCACATCTGTTGATAAGGATAATAATGTAGTAGTATTATTGTTATTATATAAACTACTACTTATCATCAATACAGAATGGTATCACTTATGATGAGTTCTGTGATTTAATATATTCACCAAACATTGAATTGGGCCCAGGACCAGGTGCAGCAGCAGCATCAACAGCAGCAGCTAGACATATTCGTAATGCCACTACATCAATATTTAATGATGTAGCTAAAAAAGGTGATAATAACAATAACACTTAATGTTGTGGTAATCGCTCATGTTGTTATCAGCTCATGTATTGGGCCGTAAATTTGATGAAGTTACGGCAGCAACAACAACAGCAGCAGTTAGCAACCGTGATAATAGAAAGTAATAACACGACGACGATCATCTTTGCTGTTGCCAACTCTAGTGGTTCTAGATATCTAGTTAATAAGGATGAGTTCAATACCGTAATGTTATCATCTTTAAAGCATCTATCTAAGGAATCTCTCGATATACTATGGACATCACAATTTAAAGAGGGTAATATGAAGTCATTATCATCATAAGAATAGTAGTAATATGTTTATTATCATACTACTAGTAGATACTATCCATAAACACAATATGATGATGGTGAATGATGGATTAATAGATTGGCGTAACTTTATAAGGTATACAATAGAAGTTGGTAATGCTTATAGACGCCCTTTAACACCTCCATTTATACGAGGCACTAGACGTAGGTTATAACATTAGAGGATGATGTTAATAATAATATATTACTCAATAATAGATCATAAACTTGAAGATAGAAGACTCTTACAATTAACGAATGGTATGATGAAGTTAGATAATGATGGTATAATGATGACAATGACTAATTATGGATCATCATCTGGCAACAACAACTCTGGGAATAGGGTACTCTAGTAGTATTGCTACTACTACTACTACTATTACAATTTGATGATGATGATGATGATGCTAATCGTAGTTAACTTGTTATAGTAGTGGTAGTACCATCTTTTAGGTGTCGATGATAGTGTGTGATAAGTTGATTAATCGTATACCACAATTATCATATAGACCTCATCAATGTACATTCAAAACACCTAATTATAAAGAGTAATACTACTACTACTACTACTACTACTACTACTACTACTACCTGTATCGAAACTATACATGTAGGTATATACGTAAGAAGGCAATAGTTGCCAAGAGGATTATAGCTAGGGATAGCGTTAATATGGTAGGTAGTAATAGTAGTTATGTCACCACATCATCTATAGATAAATACAATACGTGAAAAGGTTAATAATGTATATAATGGTAGTAGGACTAGGGTAAAGAGAGAAGACCTTATTGACATTGTTCATCATACCATTATGGATACTATCAATAATAAAGGTACTAACATCATTATCATCATCCTGTTATGCTTGTTGTTGCTATTATTATAACACAAGTTATTAGATCCATCTACACATCATCATCATAATAGTAACACACAACAAATTGATCGTAGTAATATTGAATCCCTAGTGGCCACATTGTAATAAGAGTAATTCAAGTATATCGACTATTATTATAATCATTCATAGAGTGTCTGATAAAGATGGTAATGTGGAAGTTGAAGACTTGTTGAACAAATGTTGTTTATCAACAGATGGTGATGATATGATTAACGGGTAAGTAGTATGATGATAGTATATGTCATATACTACTACTATCATCATAATCATTACTCAGCAGACCTGATGCATTAGATGGTACACCTGTATGCCGTCATTTGAGACCTATAATAGGTGATGATGAGGGTAATTACAACGGAGGGCAACAAGAGACAAATAATAATGAGTAATAGTCCTAAGCATTATTATCATCATGATCATCATGGTTGTTATTATTATTGTAGATATTGGAGAGGTAGATATGCTATGGATGTGTTACATGATGCATTAGGAAAGAGGAACTCTAGTGGTGGTAAATTGAAAGCTATAGATGTATTACTATCACTACTACTACTACTGTCATCATCATCATCACCAATGATGAACATGATGATGATATTATCATTAGTAGATATTCCGCACTTTGGATTATGATGCAGATGGTTATATAACCTTATCTGATATCAAGTCCTTTGTACAACATAATGGTGTACCTCTAAATAAGGATGATCAAGTAGCAATGTTCAAGCAGTTACTCTATGATGATAGTAGATCATCATCTAATGAAGGTAGTAGTAGTACTAGTATGATGATGTTGATGATGACAGTAGCCTATTTAGTATTATGATAAGTAGTACTATGACAGGTAATGTCGTTGATATCGGACTTTTCAATCGAAACTTTATCATTGATAATGGATCTATCATAGACTCTATCAAACGACAGTTGATAGGAGTAAGCATGATAATAATAAGAATATTAATGATGATGACATTGAATAGGTTATGGACACTGTAGGAGGGACAGCTAATCTCACCACTCAACAACAACAACAACAGCTCCTGTCATCATCATCATCATCACCACTCGAGCATCGTCGTGTTGGTCGTATATCTGATGTATGGGTGGTCGTATGTTACAGTATTAGTAGGGTATCTGGTCTGATAGGTCTTGGCAGCAGCAGCAGCAGCCCATCGTCGTTATGATGTTACTCTCCCAGCATCATCATCACACATTAATCGTCAATGTCCAACACGCTTCTCATTTACTCCTTATTATCAGCAGGATACTAGATTTATAACTGAACCCTATCCTATCAGTAAGGTGCTGCATTGTACTTATGTGTTGTTATTATGATGGTAGTAGTAGATTGTAATGCATCATACTTATCTGATGCTCAACGATTGAAGACAACATATAGGAGTACCTGTAATAATAATAATAAAGAAGAAGGCCCAATACGTCATGTACCCGATAATAATAATCATCATCATTCACCAATATATGATGCGGTAATAGTCGCTATGTATACAATGTGTTATGATGGTAGTACTAGTACTAGTAGGTTAAGACTTCCAGTATACATAATAAACGTATTAGCAGCCGTATAAGGACTCATACTGAAGAGATGGAACGTCGCCATCGTCGTCGATTAAAGCCTGCTACTTCTACTGCTGCTGTTGCTATCGATGAGGAGGGGGAGGAGGAGAATAGGGATAATGGTAAGTTAGCACGGAAGGCTCTAGCTACTATCTCTTATGAACGACGACTACGACGACATATGGACATTGTGTAGTACCAATCTCCATGCTTTTATTATCATCATGCTGCTACTATTATTATTGTTGTTATCTAATACCATCATCATTCATGTCGTTGTTCTTGATGTTATGATTATAACACGGCCATTATTGAGTTGTTATTGTTGTTGGTGTGTTGATGATAAATAACAGTTGTCATGTTCATATCATCACATGGATTGACTCATTCTTCCTCTTCTCCCTCCGATGACCATGATGATGATTATAGTGGAAAAATGGACGGCAAGGGAGTGGAGAACACTACACAACCACATGAATATCATCATCATAATCCTACTATGAAGTCGACATCATCTGGACTAGATAGTAGTAGTAGGATGATGATGATGAGGAATAGGGATGGGTCTTCAAGCCCTAATTATCATGATGATAATGATGATCATATCAGGTAATAGCAAGTATCTATGTTGATTATAATAATAATAACAAGATAATCAAGGATCAGGTATTTGTGTACTAAATTTACTAACCTTATTCAAAGACTACAAAATGAATCATTACGGAGAGCTAAGCTTGAGGAGATGTGCTAATGATAATGATGATAGTAATAGAAATACTTTATGTCGGTAGGGTATATGATCTGAATATGAAATTGGATGCTGCCATAATGGATATTACTAGGGAAAGGGAGAAGTCCATAAGCCTTGAGGAAGAGTTGATTACTGTGAAGGAAAGGTAATGATGATGATGTTAATAGTACTACTACTACTACTACCTAACTTATCATCATCATGGTGATGGTATTAGTGGTGGGAGATCAATAGATGCATTGAGAGCATCTGAGAAGGAACTCCTTCATATACGTACTGATGTTGATAACTTGAATCGACAATTACAACAAGAAAGGAGTAAAAACAAGGAATTGGAAAGGAAGTAGACTTTAAAGCAACTCTGTTATTATTATCATAATGATAGGGAATTTATAGCTATGGAAAAGCAGAAGGAATTGACTGAACATATACAAGCATTGGAAACACGACGCCTACATGCGATTAATAACGAGGTAGCTTCACATCATCATCATCATCATCATTATCATCATCATCATGGTCATCATCATGGTCATCATCATCATCATTCCAAGTAGATAGTAGTAGTATTTAGGGTAATAGTTGGAAGAAGAAAGTGATGGATAATGATAATAGGAGTGATGATATTGAGGTAAGGTCCATGCTTGATATGATGATGATGAGGAGTAGTAGTAGTGGTACTTGCTTATTAGTTGCTTGTTGTTGAATCAAAGGCTCAACAGGAATATATAAATAAGTTGAAAACTGAATTGAGATCCTCAATGCGGAGGATAAGTATATTACTGAAGGAGAATATGGATTTACGAAAGGAAGTGGCAACTACTACTACTACTACCATAGTGTTATAAGTATCAATATTTCATAGGTTCATAAGACTACTATTGAGGTAGATAAAAAGGGAAAGAGGTTAGACACACTCAGAAGGGATAATTCACGCAAGGTTACCATTACCATCATCATTATCATCATCATAGACCATCATACTTCAGGATAGACGGATTAAGGAGTTATCCCATAAATATGATGAACACATGAGCAGTCTTCTACAACAACAAGAAGAAGCAGTTATTGAGGAAGGGAGAGCTCATGCAAAGGCTCTACTATTAGAACTTGCTAAAGAGAAGGCTGATAAGGATATGTGAGGATATATCAATTGTATATAGATAATGATGATAGGTATGAAGATGTATTGAACGAATTCATACTCTAACACAGTTATTGGATACTATTACAAAGGAATTATACACGACTAAGAATGAGATCATATCTCTTAGGAACAATAATAAGGTCATGACGACCAGTTGGGATAAGCTTATCTAGTGATTATGTTTATTATTATCACTACTAGATATATCACTTACAACAACAACAAGGGCAAGGGTTAAGTACTACTACATCAACTCATACTGTATGTGATGATGATGTTGTTGGTATGACTAAATCCACTAACACTTCCGGTAACACTCGGATCATCAACACCACAGAGGAGAAGAAGAAGAAGGATAACTCAACAACAACAATACCTCATACCTTCGCTACTCAGTTTGATGAGGTAAAAGTAGTAGAAGTTGGCTGCTACTCATTATGGGATACTACTATTACTACGTTCATGTTGTTGTTATTGTTGCCTGTATAGTGTATAAGATTGGAAAAGGAGAAGTTAGCTAAAGTTGAGGAGAAGAATCTAAGACTAGAGGAATATATTAAACGATTGAGGGAGGATAAGATAAGATTAACGGATGAGTAGTTATTATTACTTATTAATACAGCATGTATCTATTCTAAAGGTTATTGATTCTCAAACAACAACAACAACAACAACAACAACAACAACAACAACAACAACAACTACTGTGATCATGTACATGATTATGATGATGACTGGGTATTTCTGATTAACTTATTCCAGTGTTACCCCTAACCGATTCGCAGTAAGAGTTCCTAGAGGTATGGTATAGTCATTATTATTATTATTATCATTGAAGGGCATATCATATTACCATAGCCTCTATCAATATCATCATCAATCTTGTATACCATATTAATATTATCCCATTCCCACATCCATCTTGTTGTACAATGGTAGATTTACCATCTATTATGGTATGTTCAATGATGCTTCTTTTACTGCATGTTAGTAATAAAGTATTATTAGCCCTATTACTATTGAGAGTTATAACTACCGTCACATAGCATAACATGAAAAGCAAACTCAATCTACGATAGCACCAGTTCCAGAGTGCTCCTTGGGGAGTGACAATGACTTTTACCATGAACTGTTCATGAGTAATAATAATAACAGCATTACTCGTCATCATCATCATATAGAAAGCACTGAGTTGTTGTTGTTGTTAATTGGAGTATGTTGTCTGCAGTTAATCTTATAATCAGCATCCTCTTCCTAATGGTAATGTTGTGAAGAATTACTACTCCATTCTCACTACTCCTTATCTTAGTCAGAAGTAGAGGAGACTCTGAATCGTATTAAAACCCATAAAGGCGTATCAGGCATTGTTATACTGAACCATGAGGGTGTATTATTATTAATAATATGAAACCCATTATTATTATCACATGTAGGTACCAATACGCTCTACCCTAGAACAGAAATATACCTTGCAATATTCTGCATTGATAAGTCAGCTGACGTATAAGGTAGTATGAGCAGTAGTAGTAGTAGGAGTAGTAGCTTCCTATAAAGAGTTGTTATTAATAATATCATATTTAGGCGAGATCAGTTATACGTGATCTAGATCCTCACAATGATCTAACCTTTTTAAGACTACGTTCAAGGAAACATGAGATTATGGTGGCTCCTGATAAGGATTATATACTTATTGTTATCCAGGTAATAATAATAATAACCAACTAGTCACACAGTATCATTATCATCATTAATAATAGGATCCAAATGCTGGTGAACAACAAGAACATAATACTGCTTGATTATTGTGATGCTAATAATTGTAATCATTATTTTATTGTTGTGTTAGTTGATAATTATTATTACGTTAGTAACTTTACCTTCTATCAAAGTACTAGATGTGGTAGATATTACCGTATATATCTAACATCAGGTCGTCGTCGTCACTTCCTGCCTATCCCTGTAGATAGGCTTATATGACATCATCATGATCATAATACTTTTACGATAATAACCATAATAATAAATATCGCTATAACCTATTATAAACAATACTTTATCACATTACATTATAAACAATATTAGTAAGTAGTGAAAATCCTTCATCTACTAGTACTACTACCTATTGAGAATAGTCATTACCCACTGTGGTTTATAATCTGATAATCCAGCTGCTGAGATCCATCATCATTATCACCAAGAAGCATAATGATGATAATATCATCAAAGTTATTCAGGTGAATGCTGCCTGTGTTACTCAGTCATGATCATCATCATGCTGTCACCCTGTCTACTCTATTCTCCCTCTTGTACCCAGATACAAAGCCACCAATACAAAGGCCCTATAAGCCTTTAACGACCCTTGAGTATGGGTATAGTAGCAGTAGACTCTGAGTAGCAGCAGCAGCAGCAGCAGCCCAGAAATAATCATTTTGCTGTTCACTTATCCCCTATT